CTCCCCGCTCATGGAGGCACAGGGACAGCTGTGTGTGCCTGCAGGGAGGCCTGGCTCTGCCCACTCGCCTAGCAGCGTGCTGAGGAACTCGGGCTTTGCTTTCTAGGGTACAGTGAGAACACGGGAGAGGACTTAGAGACTGCCTGCCACCGCCGAGGGAGGCGGAGCGGGATTCGCACCCCCGTCATCGCTGGGCCCACACGCCGCCGACGGCTTCCGCGTGTGGCCATCTGTCTCTCAGAAACCCTCTGGCAGAGGGACCCAGCAGATGACTCGGGGGCTGTTCACACTCTGAAACCTGCTTGGAGTCAAAACACTGCTGGGGCGCCTCCGCGGCAAACCCAACCCAGACAGTCTTCCATGGTGGCCCCCGCAGTGGCGGGCACTCTGCCCACTCCCTGCCAGCCCCTGCCCGCTGGCCTCCAGGCCCGGCCGGGCCCCTGACCGGTCTCCTGACCCAGCATGCTGCTCCCCCTTGGGCCTGGCTTCCTTGCCGGCTGGGATTCCCAGGCCTCTCTAGCCCAGCCCTGCAGCAGGAGCCCCGAGGGAGGCTTGGCAGCTGCAGAGGCGAGTGGGCCACGCGTAGCCCGGAGGCCAGCAGGACCAGGAGCCCCTCACAGCGCAGCAGCCACAGCATCACAAGCCACTTCCACTCCTGGGCGACCTGGGGGCCCCCATCCCGGTCTGAGCTGCCCCTTATTGTGACCTCGGGCCCCCTGTGGTGGGCTCCCCCGGTGCCCCCAGATCCAGCCTCAGGGAGGTTCCAGATGCCGGCCAGGCCTCGGCGCCTCCACCCAGGATCACACACTCCTATCTCCGCACTTCCGCCCTCCATCCTGCTCCATGCCGCCTCTGCTTGTTATTCCAGCACATTCTGGGGCGATGCCTGCTGCAGTGGCGCAGCCGGTACCTCCACCCTACCCCCCACATGACCCACCAGCCCCTCCGCATTCCCTCCGCTCTGTGCCCTCACTGGCTGGAAGCCTGCCCGGCCCGAAGGGTCCTCACCTGGTGAGGGTGGGGTGTCGCCCTCACCTCCCTTCCACCCCAGCCCACCTGTGACTCAGCCCTGAAACCCTCACAGCTCTGTCCTCCCAGAGGGAGCCGGTGACTTGGTTCTGATGGTGCCTGGACCCAGCCCCGGCATGTTCAGAATCCTTGTCCTTTAACCTGCCTCCACCTGTGGTCGCCTCTGCCTCCCTGCCTGACCCTGCAGGCCCTGCGGAGCAAACACTGCTGCCTGCAGGAGTGCCCCGGGGCCCTGAGGAACAGAGACCCGAGCCTCCTGTGGCCCCAGCGAGGGTTCCTCGGCGGGAGACAGTGAGCCCAAAGCTCTGGCTCTCGAGGGGTGGACAGAGTCCGGCTGGCGTTGACGGGGTGCCCCTCTCTACCAGCTTCCACAGTCCTTGAGAGCAAAGACGGTCCCGGCAGTGGAGCAGAGGGCATGGGTGGGGCATCCAGTCTCCAGGGAGCCACTGTTGGGTGGGGAGGAGCCCGAAGTGGGCTCCGGACCCCTGCGGGGAGCATGTCCCCTTCCAGTGGGGGCGGCTGGTTGATCTGGGCACAGGGGCAGGAGTAGCCCCATCTGGTGCTGACCTCAAGGCCGTGCCTCTGGGGGCATTTTGGCAGACCCACCTGGACCTGGGCGACAGCCTGATTTCCTGCAGCCGTGACCCACAAGGGTGGCAGCTCTCTCAGTCGTGACTTACCAGGACACAAACCCAGGCCATTTAATGTGCAGGCAGCCCCAAGTCCCGGCAGGGCCAGAAGCAGACCGTGGCTGGGGATGAAAGCTGCATGCTGGTCCCTGGGGCCCCGCTCACTGTGAGCTCCTGAGAGGAGGGAAGTCCCCACGCCCCACTGGGTGGAGTGCTCCTTGGCCTAGGACCCCGTCCCATGTCTGTTGCCGTGGGGGCGGACTCTGGGCAGAGAGAGGCCAGACGGGCACCCAGGTGAGCTGGAACACATTCCTCCTGCTTCCCCCAGGGTCCCCAGAGGCGACCTCCCTCCTGCACAGGTGTCTGTCACCCTTACCCTCTAGGACATCTTTGCCATGTGCAGTGAACCCCTGGACAATGTTGCGTGCCACATCGCCGGATTTGGGCTGTATACAGACCGAAGCATGTGGCATGACGCCTTCCCTAGCCGTCAGCGAGTTCCTCGTCCCTCGATAGTATGTGTCTAGGCTGCCCTTCAAGGTGGCAGTGAGGGCAGTTGTCTCTTGCACGCTGTGTACAGTTCTGTCACTGACCCTTACACACAGCCCTGGAGACAGGAGAGCGTCGGGAGCATTCCATGCAAGTGTCCTGGCATGTGCGGGCATCTCCATGGCACAAACCCGAGCCGGGGACCACCCCCTCCCCTGCTTCCATGATTCCACCAACTCGGGGGGCAGAGCCAGGGCTGGAGGCACGCCCCGGGTGACAGCAGGTGGCCATGCCGGTGAGTGCACGCGTTCTCAGTTAATTTATCCTAAATATTTGTACGTTTCTTGATTATTGCAGTTGCATCCCCAAGATAATGCCCCCCTCACCACGTAGAAGGCGCATGTGCTCTGAGGGCCCCTCCCACACTGGGGTCAGGGCACAGCACCGTAGCGAGGCGGCGTGGGGGCTCAGAGGACCTCGGACAAGGCTGGGTACATGGGGCTTCTCCAGCCAGCCAGGAGGAAGCACCCTGCAGACTGCTAACTTTTGCAAAATAGAGTAAAAAAGAACAGCTAGAAAAAGAAAACGAAAAAGGAAAGATATACCAAATACAAGACCGTTTTTATTGTTACATTTAACAGTCAACTCACTTCGTCTGAGAGGCGTTGGCATCTGTGGACACACTCGGTGCTGAGGTTTGTCCCACTGCGGGCAGGGACAGGTGGTTCTCCTGGGGGGCTGGCCTCCACCCACTCTGCGAGGCTGCGCTGCATGGGACATTGAGGCACCTGTCGGCCGCTCACTGCCTGGCTGCGTCTATGAGGGATGAAACAAGCTGGGCACCAGCTCAGCCTCTGAAGACCCCATGGGTACCCTAAGCCATGGTATCTGTCCCCGAAGTTCCTTTTGGGTGGGAGTGCTGGGGGTGCAGGGACACAGGGTTCCAGTCACCCAGGGCCAACCCTGACCAGACGGCAGGAACCAGGGTCTGCAGCTGGATGCAGATGGCAGGCAGATCATTCTGGGGAAGTCCCTTTCTTAAACCACATACTGTCCTGGGCTGAACAGGCCCCCCTAAAAATTCATGTCAACTCAGAACGTCAGAATGTGACCTTATTTGGAAACAGGGTCTTTGCTGATGTAATCGAGTGAGGGTGAGCTCACACTGGAGTATGGTGGGCCCTCGTCCAATGACAGCATCCTTGTAAGAGGAGGGAAGTCAGCCCCGAGACGCAGGGAGGACAGCCACGTCTCAGTGGAGGCAGAGACTGGAGCCACATAGCCGCAGGCAGAGGGATGCCTGGGGCCACCAGGAGCTGGAAGAGGCAGGGAGGACCCTTCCCTCAGGCCTCCAGAGTGGGCAGGGGCCTGAGGATGCCCTGATCTGATCCCTGATTCCAGCCTCTAGAACCGTGAGAGGCTCAGCATCTTTCTCTGCCCCCCAGCCCGTGGCCTCTGTCAGGGCAGCCTTGGGAGCTGAGCCTGGCCCCTAATTCTCGGGAGCTCTCCCACGGACGGGGTTCTCCATCTCCCGAGCATGTCTGACGTCCCCTTTCCACTGCTCGCCAGGCTGATGGTGACTGCCATCTTCCCTAGGGACCCACCCTCTGTTCCCAAAGGCCCTGCTGGACACCCGGCCGCTCAGGCCCACCCCGCCTAGCCCGCACACCCCTCATGTCTTCTCTGAACGGGGTCTTCCCTGAACGGGCCTGGCCTTTCGGTGGGGAGGCGAGGCCTCCACTTGAGGACTGGCCCCTGATTGCTCTGGCATTTCAGTGACGCTGTGCCCCAGACCGAGGGAAAACTCTAGAAAAACTCCCCACCAAACTCCTCTTCTGCAGAGTTGAGGGGGCGGGAAGTCTGTAACTTTCCTGCAAACGTTATTCTGCCCCTGCCAGGTGGGCTGAGATGGCAAAGGT